AATTATTCTTTTGATGCACACATGTGACTGTTTCTGGATCCATTTAGATATACCTTCTTGATTTATCAGAATCTTCCTCTTGCTGGATAAGCATACATAACAGACATATTATTGCTAGGTTTATCCTTTCAGAACTATTCAAAAAAGGAGATTTTTACAATATGGGGTATAAAGAAATCAAATCAGACTAAGTAGATCTCTTAGAAGACATATGCATTATTAGGTCACATTCTAAATGTGAGAAACATGGACAAAAACTGGTTAAAACCCAAACAAGGCTTAAAGGAGAGGGTGAGCAGTGATTTGTAACACAGGTGGTCACAAGAGTGATGGGCTAGGCACTGCATTATACACAGCTCCTTGTTCACATCATTTAAGCCTTTTGATCCTTTTACATTTCTTTCCAAAGCAAATTAGCAGCATTACCTGCTATTATTTTTTTTCCCCCCACTGGTTTCCCATAGGTTTCTTTGGGTTCTAGGCACACATCAATTATTAAAAGAAAAAGTCAGTGGCTGGATGTTAAAAATGAAAGAGAAAAATCTTTGATTTTCCAGCGCTTGGTCTTTAGGTCCAGTGTGTTTCTTTTATTTCTCTTGTCAGGAAAATTAATCCGCAAACACCAGAGGTTTATGTCCAAAAAGGACATAAGTAAAAGGAGTCCTTTTACATTATTTGAATAAAGGGAGAGGCCATGGGGCATTCCCCTGGGGTCTCTCCAGTTTTTGGAGGATGTAGCCTCCTTTTTATCCTGATTTCCCAGCCACATATCCCTTCTCTTTCCCCATAGGCTGAGGTACTTGAGAGGCACAGACTTCCTGGAATGCCTGATACCTAAGATTCCCCTCTAATATATATATATAACCCTCCCTCTTAATTTTTAATTCTTAGGATTTTATGGTGTTTCCCCAGTGTCTCTTTCATCTTTCAATATCCATTTTCATTTACCAGCAAACCTACAGTGTAAAGGCAAATATCCTTTTTTCCATTCATCCATCAGTGGAATCTTTCCCATTGTTTCTTTTATCTCTAAGTGCTAGTTTTATTTACCAGCAGACCCACAGATCGTCTGTAAAGACAAATCTGTCATTCCTTTCACTCTGATTCTGTGATTATTTGGCTGACAACTGATCAATTCATAAGCTCTTAGTCAGCAGGTGTGCTTGAAAAAGTACCAAAATATTAAAGTATAAGCTGATATACCTATGCTTTCTCTCAGGTTTTTGTGGAGGATATTTTGGTCCTTCCCCTTGTGGTAAGAACAATAAACATTTCTTTCTGTTCTAGGTGATCCTTATTACATCTATTTAACAAGCTATTTTTGTTACTTAGTTCCTCAGCAAAAACCTTATCAATATAATAATTAGCAGGACCAGACCCTGGAATAGAACTTTCTTCAGTTAGAAAACTAGCAATTACACAAATATACTCCCAAGAGGAAGAAATTTGTCACAGCTGGAAAAAGAGAAACTCAGGTCCAAGAGCAAGCCAGAAAATAGAGATAAGGGTCTCCACAAAGCATATAACTATCTAGAATAGATGACTCTATGTTTTTCTTTATCTTGTCAAGATAATTATGGCTGAAATTATTCACCCACCTTCCCACCAGTTCTGCACTTCCAACTCCAATTAACAAATTCACTCTGGAGCTTTCTTTCAATGCTTAATGCCATCTTCCCTCCCTTCCCCTTAAAAATGAGAACACTGGTGAATAATTTACAGTGTCTAGAGTGCTTCTTTAAATACATAATATTTAATATAAATTTAAACTGAAGATGAAAGCAGATTCCTCAAAATACAAAAGCCAAGGTTATTTTGACTGTTCATTTCTGTTATTTAAAAGGAGATGGTCAACACAAAAATTTGTAGCAATCCATATGAGAGATCAGAATCAGTCTTGTACAAAGCCAAAATCCTACAAATGAAGTAATCTTTTGGATACTAACAGGAAACCCCAAAAAATAGTTAAGGTATGGAATTTACAAAGACATTATTTTATTCTTTGTAGATACAAATACTATTTTAAACTGAAAAGGTCAGACAAGTAACATTCCACATAAGTGATTTATGTACCAGGTATGCAATAAACTGAGAATAACCAAACTTTATTCTATGAATGAAATATCTGGGCCCTGAATATCTGTAAACAGTTTGAAACTAAAGCTGAAATTTGAAGACATTGTCCAGAGTTGCTGGAGTGTAAATCAAAATTACAAAGAATCCTACAGCTCACTACATGTTTGTTCAGCATTTCTAATCTCATATGAAACTGAAAATGTTCAGAAGAATTTAAGTGAAACAACATTTCTAACAAGTTTGACATTCATTTTCCAGGAAGATTAAACTAATATCTAACCTGCATTCAGTCTCTATAGGTCACTGAGTCCAGATAAATGAGCTGATTTGTGAATGTATTACACACACTCTCCACTCTCTCTCTCCTACCTGTATCTGTACATGCTCAGGGAGTCTGAGGATTAAGCCACCACAATACTTATTTTAGTGAAAATTATTCATTATGGAATATTTTATTTCATACTGCATTTGAAAGCCAAAGTGTTTATTCTGGCTTCAGCTGTTCTTTTTTGTTTGTTTGTTTTGCTTAAAAGCTGAAGAGTCATTTTTGAAGCAAACATTTAGAATCAAGAATTCATTCAGAATCCAGAATTCTCATTCAGAAATAATGAGAAAAATATATCAGTATTTTTAATGCCTTATTATTTCCAAATGAATCAAGAAGTAAAGTTAGAGAGATGTTTATTTTCTCATAAACTTTAGCATATACAAAAATAAAGTGCACAGCTCTAGAGGAAAACATCTAAACCTAGCTAAAATGGTTTTGAGGACGCTTGGGTGACAAGAGGTCTGCTGAAATGGCTCTTTCAAAATATATTTTCTGCTGCAAATATGAGTTCCACCTAAATTTACTTTTCTTCTGTAATATAAACAGCCAAATCTATAATACGAACACATTTAAATGGAAAATATGGGTCTAGAATTATGGACCCATATTTGCAGATTGAGAGTGTCTGTAGTAAATTCAATCGATGTGGGTTCACATTACTGTATTTGAGGAAAATTAGTTGTTACTGACCTGATCACTGAATATTTAATTGACCTGTTAGAAATTACATTAAAACACTGTGAGTCGTGATGACATTTTCTTAATAGCTGCTTCAGTTCACTGTGCATGCGTGGAAAATGAGATTTTAAATTTACCTATTATGGGATAAACCCTACTCCATCTAGAAACTCATATCTCTGGTGTTAGCTGAAGCTGACAGAATGAGGTTCTGTGCATAAATTCACTACAGAATTTGATTTGATTTATCAGGGATTGCCATGTTATCAGAATGATAGCAACAGGATTTTATTTTGAATTAGTTTTTAATGAAATTTATTAATTCATTTTTTATACCAATATATCCATGGCTCACACATATATTTTGTGTTTAGTGAGGAAAGTGTTAAAGTCCATCACTAATACAATATTTTTAAAGCTTTACAGTAGCATATATTTAAACAATCTTGGAAACTTAAGAAGCTGTTTCAAGGCAAGCAAAAAAAGCAGAGTTCATCTCTGTGCTTACTAGAATATCTGATTCAACACTTTTCTTTGAACAGTTGCTGATGACAGAGGTCATTCTGTATTTTGTAAAGTTTTAAAATTCAGTCAAGATAGAGCTTATTAAATGAAGAGCTCACAAGAAAGACATTAAGGCAGAGACTTCTTAACCCTCACAATCAAGGGAGAAAAAAGTAGCCCCTATTGTCACACTGCTTGAAGCAGGACAGATTTCTCATATACAGAAAATGTGGAAGGCAATTACAGCTTCACAATTTCCTGGTGCCTTTCATCTAAACACCACATAACTCTCAAGAAACATTAATGAAGTAAGCAGCTTAATATATCTGAAAAGTACAGTAAGGAAGGAATGTGGGAGAGTTTTGGCAGATATCCTAGTACCCTGAAGTTGCTGATCATAAAGTGATCCAAAGCAATGTTTGAAAGGCTTGAGGAAAAAAATGACTTCTTTTTTCATAATCTAAAGAGTGCTTTGTGAAAAGTTAAGGTAAAAAACACTAATAAGATATTGCTGGCTGAGTAATTTTCAATATATGCTGTTTGTCAATGAAAAGAAAAAGCAAGAATTAAGAAGAATGTTCATGAAAAAATAGTGATTTTGAAATCACATCTGTTATTTAGGTTATCATCCATTTCTCAACTTCCAGAGATCCTAAGAGTTCCATTTTAGTTTTAAAAATACAGGACTAGTTAGCAAACCAGAAAAATGAAAATTCAAGTTACATTTAAATAAACTCTTCAGATTGTTTAGCATAGGTGTGAACAACTTTCCACAAAAACAGTAGCTTGAATGTTAAAAACACATCTGGGCATTAGCACTTCCTGTTCTTGTAAGGCTTGGAGAGAAAATTATCACTGTGTAATGATTTTAAATCATTACAAAATCATTAAAATCTCACATTATGAGATAAAACACACATACACACACCATTAAAGATTTTCCTAGAATTCTGTGAATTTCTCTAGGAAATTTCAGTCAATTTGAATAAAGAGCTTGCTGTTAGTGTGTATCCTCTCATGAAGCACATCTTCATACAGCCTAAGAATGTATACTAGCATCATCTGAAGCCAGTATTTGAACATTTTTTGGAAATGTTTCTCTCATAGTTTATTAAAAAATAGCAACAGTTAAGAACTGGACTCAGACTGTAACATCCCTTTCATTTCAAAGTATATACTTGCAGCTTTTAGAATTATTTTTCTCCTAATACAGATGAAGCTAAAACATTTATTAAAAAAACCTACAAAATGTCCTAACTATAGAAAAATATCAGTGATAAAACATCATTAGAAGCATTTAACATCAGAGCAACAAATTCTTGGCTTCATCACCTTAATTCAGCTATATTAAACAAAACATTTTGTTAGATGGCAATGATAAAGTCTTGTGTGTCTTGGCAGGAAAATATAATGGAAACCCCAGTAACAAGTTTTCTCATTCTGTTCCTTTGCTCTGATAAACCACATGTTCATGGGTTTAGAATAAATAAGTCATAAATAACAACAGGACTAAACCAAAATAAAATTGTTCATGTGTTATCTTACTGTATACCTATCACCTTCATTATTGTTCAAGGGTTTTTGGCTCCCATTCATACAAAGCTCTCTTCCATATTTGTGCACAGCAGAAAAGAATCCACGAGTCTGGGCTTTACCAGCTGCTGAAAATCTGACTCTTCCAGTCCATCAGGACTCATAACTGCTAGTCTCCTCAAGGCTGCCTAGAAAAACAAAACAGCATCATTGCAATGCAGTCAGGTTTGGCAAAGTCTTCATTGCAGGAATCCATTATAACCATATCTAAATAACAGCCAGAACTCAAAACTGAACTGTGCAGGTCTGTGAATTCTGCTGCTGGGTAATCTCTCCTTACTGTCTTCATCTTCCCTCATGCAAAGTTATTAAATGACAATTCTATTGGGCCACATTACTTTTAGACCTGAGCAGCAGGTCTAAGTACAGTACCAGCCCTCAGACACAAGTGACAATACCTATCAGAGCTTGAAGCAGCTTATGTCTCAAGGACAATATTTTTGCCACATTTTTATCAGAAAACATCTTCAGGCAGTTACTAAAACATCAGGAGAAGCAGAATTTCTGAGACAGGGAGGTAGGTAAGGTCTCAAGCAATAGGCATGGATTCAAGGAATGTGCAGCAACAACCTCAGTGAGACAGAAGAATCATAGTCTGGTTTGCTGCCATTGCTCTGTGGTCTCTGCTCTAACCACTCAAGATTAACAAGCCTTCCTGGCATGTAGGAAGAATAATCACAGCATTTTCTATGCTCACATTTATACTTTCATCATCCTGAATGAGACCTGCTTAAGTGAACAAGCTGCAATAACCGAGCTTTACTTTTACATTTAAAATAGCACTAATATCATAAAGCACTGTTGAACAATATTCTTCAGTCTTCATTCACCAGAGCTTGTGCTCCAAGCCTAGATCACACGTGTCCCCAGAGCCCTTTCACAGAATGCTTGGTGAAATCATTCAGCTCTGGCTTTTGGCTCACAGTCCATGCAGTGCAGATGGGATCTTTCTCTTGAGCAGAGAAAGTGTTAAACTTCTCTTGCCCACTCCTTGGCTGGGAACTATATTGTCTTGGTGACATAAATAGAACAAAAAATTGGATTGGAGTGGAAGCAAGACATATCTTTTCCCCTTTTTGGATGCTTTACATAAATATTTTCATATATATGTGGGAATGCTGATAAAGGGTTGCTACCCACATGACTCAAGGCTAATTTCAATAATCATAGAACCATCACAGAATGGGACTTAGGAATTAATGAATCCTTAAATTCCAAAGTGTTCCAAGGAAATATTTTGGTGCCCAATAATGTGAAGATGAAGCCATTTTTTCTTTATGTGCTTAAATCTTCAATCCAAGGATGAATAATTGACAGCATACAGGATTATGCTTAAGGGTAAAAGCAGGAGACCCTGACATGAATTTAGAGCATTTCTGCAATACTTATGCATTTTGAAATCTAAAGGGATGTTTTCTCCTTAATTTTCCAGTGTAAGCATGAAAGGAAGACTAAAATGTACATACCAGACATGCCACTAAAACAGAATCACTGTTATTTCTTTCTGTTGGTGATCTGCAAAGTTTAATCAGGCGAGGAATACCTGAGTGCACAAAAGAGTGTCAGGAGAAATACTTCAGAAAAACAACTTCTTATTTTGTGATATTTTTTAGATTCATCATGTTTATCTTTTTTAGTAGATATGATCTCTAATGCAAAGTTGATATGCAAATACTTAAGGGACTTTCCACGGAGCTCTGCAGTTCAGAGCAGTCATAATTAATGATTGTAAAGCATAAACAAATACATTTGGTTTACATGCTGCTGCAATTTCAGAGTGGAAATTGTGACCTCCATTTCTTCCCTACCAATCATCCCACACACCCTTAAAAAAACTCCTAGTCAAAGAACACATTCCCTCCCATCGGATTAATCACACCTGGAGCTGCTGGGGTCCCAGATTTCTGTGCCCTGACAGATCCTGCCCGAGGCAGCAGTGTGAGCTGGCACAGTAAGGCACAGCTACGTGTTGAGTGGGTGCTGCACCTCAGATTCCTCTGGGGAAAGAGGAAGAGGTTTATTTAGCTCCATATCCTCAGTCATCCTCTGGACTGACTTTATATGGAATATCTTTCATAAAGTTTCCCAAGTGAGGCTAAAAATTAAAAAGAGCTTCTCCATGACTGGCAGTTCCTCCCTCTTTCAGTGCCATTAAGCAGGAGGCACATCCTTACAGCTGAGTTTTACTGCTGCATCTGCCACCTCCGGATCTCGGCTGAGCCGTGCCAGGGTAACTGCAGATTTCTGCTGGACTCGCTCACAAGCTGCAGCTTCTGCTGGATTTCCCGAGGAGGATTTTTCAAAGAGCATTTCCATTAAAAGTTGAACACCTAAAAGAATGCAAGAGCTGTCGTTATCCTCTCTCCAACAAAAAAAAAAATCTCAGTGCAAAAAAGTGAAGGGAAGAGGAAAGCTGGGTTAATACAGACCAGCCACCATACATAAATGAAGGCTGCAATTTTGACATCAGCACCCAGGTGCATGTGATCTATGTGTAAGTCCTTCTTCACTAGGAAGCTACAGAACTTCTGGATCTAGAAAATTATTAACTCTTTCCTCCTCTAAAAGTTTGTATTCTAAATTTCACTAATTTATTTCAGTCTACCAAATGTAATTCTTTATTTTCTTCTAATTTAACCTAAAGGTAATCACGACCTGAAAAATCTGTAGTGACATATTTCAGGTCTCTAAATGAAGTTTCACTCTCATTTAAAGTATTTTTTTTTGTTTGTTTATATGTTTTTAAGCAAGCCTTTGAAAGTTTCCTTCTCAAACTGTTTAAGAGTATTTTAGAATGAGGAATCCTTTAATGAAGGAAATGATGAAATTCTGTTTCTTGAAGTTTACTGTGTGACTAACTCTTCTCTCCAGAAGAGACAATGTCATCAATGTCAAAGCAACTTCACTAATTTATTGTTGTCTGTAGGAGCTGATATTCTTCTTGTAGCACCACAAAAGAAAAAAGATGATGATTTCTTTTTTCTAGATTATTTTAAGTGTAAAGACAATTATGTACTATTAGACTCCATATGCTATTAGGCATCCAGATTACATCAGGTAGCATCAGAGGATTTGAACTGTTAAAATATTTGCATAAATAATTCAGAGAATTATCATCAGAGCCATGCAGCTAGATAATTATCAATCAACATACAAAAAAGTCAGAGTTGAGAAGAAAGTACCTACATGCTCCAGCATTTGAAGATTGTTCTCAGAATGTGGCCTCTGACTAGCACCTGCTTATTATAACATTATGCAGTCACTAAAAAGATTTTACACAAGATGAGTGCCAACCCCTCTCAAAAGCCAGGGGGAAAATGCTTCTTGTGAAATTCCATGACAGAGTATACACACAAATTTTACCTGTTGTCATTGTCCCTGACAATCCACTGCAGTGTCTAGCATGAGTTCGGCCTACTTGGCCTAGCAAAGCAATATATGTGAGTTTTCACTGTAATTTAATGTTTCCCACCAAAAAAGAAAAAAAAGAAAAAAAGCAAAGGCACCCATCTTACTATCTTGCTTGGCCTTGAATTTGCTGGCAGGTGCATTAATAAGGCATTTACATCTTACCACAATATTACCAGTATTACCACAATACAGGTTGCTGAAACACTTTTTGCTACTTTGCATCTAGGAATAAGTCACACACACAGAACACCAGCAATGTGGTCACAAAGGCAAAGTTTCCTAAAACAGTGGCATTATATTTTGGTTATGTAGAACCATTCCCAGGACTCATTTTGCACCCTGCAGCAATGTGCAATATCCAGCAGAGACAGGATGCAAAATGAAGCTTTATTAGTGAAGCCTTTCTCCTTTACTGTGTAAGTACTACATTCCCATCTACTCAGACTCTGCAGAAATAATGTTTCCCACCAAATTTTAATTTTTTATTTTTATACATACATACATAAATACATAAAATTTATATACATACCATTTCCTTGAATGATTTCTGAAGCACACTGGTCCAAGACAGACATGTTTGCCAATATTGTTACCACCTGTTGTTAAAAGGAGAAGGAAAGAATAAAGTCTAGTCTTACAATTCAGTAATATTAAATATAACTGTGGTTCACAAAATAAATATAGCAGAAATATGGAAAATATTTGGGAGTGCTGTTATTGTGCTGAATTTGTTCAGGTGAAATGCTAAGAAATCCTTGCAAGATATTTGGAGTTTTGAGCTTTGATTCAAGGGAATATTTAAGGAATATTCTTCAGTTTCGTTGGAGTCAAGAATTGTGTGCATGTCAAGGCACAGTCTCAAAAGCAACTGGACTTAAAATTCTGTTTATACCTTTCCAGAGGTAAAGAATCATGGTTAGGCTTTGTACCAACACATTCAGTGTTGATATGTGCACAAGCACATTCTGAGATCTTGACTTACAGAATTTCTTATCCCAAATAGCTTTAACTGTTTCTGAGACTAGGTGAAACTCAGCTTGCTTAAAGTGATGCAGCAAGCCACAGACAGAGACTGCACCCTGTGGTGCTGCTGGATTTCAGTCAGCCATTCCCTTCACTGATATTGCGTATTTTCTCACACGTCCTGCAAAACATTCTTCTCAATCCTTCAGATAGCTTTCTTTTTGCATGCTGACACATCCCAATATGAACAGCATATGTGAGAGACCAAATAATAAATGCTAGAGGTAGTCAGAATGCAAAACAGAAATAATATTCTTTCTTAAGAGGTTTCAAATTTTCTCTAATCTAATTCAGGAAAATTGACCAGCCTCAAAAATAATGATCAGTTTTGGAACTGGTTATCAGCTTTTTTAATAGTACAGTGTCAGTTCAGAAACCAGCAAACTTCTGAAATGTGAGGAGGCATGAGATCAAATCACCATTCTGATCTCACTTTGCCATTTTAAAAACAAGGATGACTCATTTCCGATGCTGTGACAGAAAGGTCTTCCACTTTTGAAGTTAGTGTTACAGTGTCATCTCTCTGAATAAATATATATACTTAGCGTGCAAATGAGTTGCTGAACCTCTATAGAGTGACAGGTAGAAATATGGTAACTTGGTGTATGTCTATGTATTTATTCCATATTAATTACTAACTGTGTTGCAGGCAGAGTGTATATGTTTTCTCATTCTAAATTATATCCTGTTAATGAAAATTGCTTCCTCTGTGCAGAATCAGTACCCCATGTGGCTCTCTAAGACACAGATGAAGAATTCAATTAACCACAGTTTGAATACATATCAATTATTCCACTGCTTGAAGTTATTTTTTCTAATAAGTATTTTCAGACATAAAAACAGTTTGTGTGCATCTTTTGACACCAAAAAATTATTTGAGGTTATAGCTATATCTCTTTCATGTTGATTATGTGGCCCCAATATTTTGCAGTATTTATGGACTACTCTAAAGGGTTTGCATGTCACCTTATCCAGAAGGGTGTAAAAAAACCCCTTATGATCAATGACCATCAAGTTCTACCTATATTAATTTTAAAATCTTAGTAGGACTCAAAAGGTAGTTAAGTCATAGATCAGCTCACTCCATAAGGATAGATTTTTTTTTTCCCAAGTAAATTTTCCTGTGATGTAAAATATGTAAAAAACGAGGATAATGTAAAAATACAGTAGGCAAGCAGAATAAGGAGTGATAGTAAGAATAATGCTCTATTTCTCCTACACTTTCCTATTTTAAAGTTCATGCAACTTACATGAAAATTTCCTCTGTAATACAAACAAAATTCAAGGAAGTTTCCTATTAAGGATGAACTCTAGAGGAAAACACAAACAAATGTAGACTCAATTTGCTTCAGAAAGTGACACTTCTGTGAGCACTGGTATTAATGAAGTCTTATCTCTTTTGGATTTAGAGTTGATCAAAAAATATAAATAAATGTTTTCCAGTAGGTTCTCTGCCACTTTCTTTTTTCTTTTTTGTCTAATGATACAGAGGCTTACACTGCAGTCTTTATCTTTGCTTCTTTTCCCATTATCTGGCTCCAAATTTCAAAAGCTTTAGGCAGTCTCAAAAATAACTACAAAGTCCTGTTGAATCAGCAAACCAGTTCAGTTGTTATTGTGAGACGTGGAGCACACAAACAGATACAGATAAAAGTGACTGCCTAAACCTCATTTCATAGTTGAAAATTACTGAAAAAAGATAGACACCAAAACCTCTTTCAGAACTGAAATTACTTTGAAATAATTGACTTTCAGCTATTTAACATGGAATCTCTACTGTTCAACTGTAATTTTTAATATTAATTTCATTAATTGCTCAAGTAATTGATCCTGTAAAAGAGCACACTCCCTGATTACAAAGCACTGGCACCTGACTCAGTTTATGATTCTTGCAATTTTTCTGGATTCCTAAGGAATACAATGAACTTGTGGTCAACTCCAAGTGTAAGAAAGAAGAAATCCTGATGACAGGATACATGAGTTCTGGTCATTGCCTTCCTACCATGCAGAAGGAATGTGCTGAAGCCTGCCACCAGTTTCATTACCCCAGTGATGTCTTGATCTGTGAGATTTGTAAATGTGTTATTAAGCAAATTTTGTCAGGGAATCCAGCATAATTGCCTACCCCAGCACCTGTATTTCTGCTAAGCAGATCTGCTTTGGAGGTGGATCTTGACCCACACATTTCCAATATCTGTATTTTAGCAGTGCTCTCTCATAGACTGACCCAGGCTGCTCCACATTCCATTCTCTGCTATCCAAACCCATCAAGAATTGTGGGTGCCTCTCTAGAGCAGGAGCCTGCTAAACCTGGTGGCTGCAGTTTTCTCTGTGATCTGGAAGCTCTAAATTCATTGTACTAATGAGAAAATCCACAGAAAAATAGACTTCATCAAGAAATAATCAGCACAGAATCAGAGAATTGGCTTGGAAGGGACTCTAGAGATAATCTAATTCCAATTCCTATCATAGGTAGAGACATTTCCCACTTGATCAGGTTGCTCAGAGCTCCATCCAGCCTGGCATTGGACACTTCCAGGGATGGGACATCCACAGTGTCCCTTGGCAACCTGTTCTTGTGCCTCACCACCCTCACAGCAAAGAATTTCTCCTTACTATCTAATCCAAGCCCTCTCTCTCTCAGTTTGAAGCCATTCCCCTTGTCCTGTCACTATGTGCCCTTGTAAAGTCCTTCTCCATGTTCCCTGTTGGCTCCCTCAGGTCCTGGAAGGCCTGTGACATTTGTTTGCTATCAGAGGGAAGCTGGATGCATGATTCAGGTCAGTGTCACAAGTTACAAGCACAGGAACAGACCTCCAGGGCTCCTCCTGTGCTCAACACCTGCCTGTTTCGGTGTGCTCAACTCTACACACCTAAACCACGGGGCAGTGAGACATGGGAAAAGGCAAAACGTCAGGAAAGGAATTCTCAGACCAGCTCATGTTTTAGCACCTTTTGAAGGAGCACCAATTTAGCAAAGTATCAACATGCAGAGATTTCACTGGGAGTGGCAAGATTTTTTCACAAGAATAAGAGATTAAGTAGGTAACTTTCAGAATTTAAAAAAAAACACACCCAAAATCAAGAAGCTTTGAAGGTTCATCTTTAAATGGTTTGTTGATGAAGTGAGTATGCAGAGATATTTGAGGGGCCCCTTAATGTCGCTGTAGGACACGGAATGATTCGCACAGACATGGTTCGATGTATGATAGGGAAAAAGAAGGATTTTGTTTTTGTGACTCCAGTATTAATAGATTTTCAACAATGACCAGGGACTGGATAGTTAGGCTACCACTTTCCCAATCACACTGGTTCTGAGAAACACCCATCAAAAGATGTTTCTTTGAAAGAATGTATAAACACCTATGTTTATAGTTACTTTCCTGTGAAAGTGGCTATAAACTATGAAAACAAGATCAGAAGGTTTAATTTTTAGGGTGACACCTTAAGGCCCCTGGAGAATTTCCCTATTTAATAACTTAACTTCAAAAAGAATGTAATTATTTAATATTTTTCAAATGTCAATACAGTATCATCATCTTAGTCCTGAAGCTGCCCTGGAAATTAATCTGAAATCAAATTAAAAATGTCAATTTTTATAGGCAAAATAAGAAGAGGTATTAAACACAGATACATCTCTAATGACAATATCATACATTATTATAAAATTGGCAGTCTTGATCTTTTTTGGTTATTATATATATACTTCATAATTTAAAATTTGTTTCTTTTTCCACATAGTTTCCTTCCACTCCCTCAGACTTTCACACATATTGAATTTATGAGTGGTGAACTGTCCTTTTAAGTTCTGTAGTCTGCTTTGCCCTAAACTGTAAGACTTTCAGTTGTCAAGAGCAATTTAAATTTGAGAAACCATGGTTAATCAAGAACCTTTAAAATAGTTTTCTTCAAACAACAGTCACCTTGGAATTTTTTTTTGCTAAAATATGTAATTACTAACACTATAATAAAACTTTTCTAAACAACTAATGGTGACTAATGCTCATCAACCAGTGTACAAGGTACTGAATCTTTGTTGGAAAAGTGAAAACTAGATATAAATGCTTTGCTAGAAAATAAGATACACTGAGAGTGTAAATCTGTAGTTATCAGAGAGATTTAAACTTAAAGAACATGTAAGAAACAGAAGGCTTCTCTGAAAACTTTCCCTTAGTGGCAGATTTAAAAAAGTTTTTCCCTTTATTGTGAAACCAGCTACTAAGGAAGAAAGATGCCAAAGGATTTGGAGGATGAAAGCACACATTTTAGCCAGCTAAAAGGCCACTATCTTCCACAACTGAGGGTCCCTTACCTCATTTGTGGGGGGGGGAAGTGTCTACAGAGGTGGAAGGTGTGGTGATAATATACCTTTCTTAACAATGAAGGCACACTTCTCAGTAGGCTTTTATCAATAGTCCTGACATAATAAAATATTAAAATATAATAAAAAAGAAAGACACAAGCTCAAAACAAGAATTAGAAAGTAATTTAATAGAGTGGCAAAGTAAATCAATATAGAATTGCTAATTCTCTTAGTTAATTACTCCTTTAGGGTTGATTCATTGCTAAGTAA